CCCCTAGACTGACTATCAGTGGTCAGTCAACCCGGTGGAAAGCGCCGGGCATTCGCCTTTGTCCTCCTACTTTGGTGTTAACACCGCCACGAGGAGGCAGTGGGTAGGTCTTCCTCAGCAGAAGCTATTTGAGGCGCTTGGTCCTTTGGGAGCATTTCTAGAGGAGTTCGGGACGAATGGCCATTTCGGAATGTTAGGACGGAACGCACAAAATCCGTCCTGCCACGCAGCGACGCGCGTCACACCACAAGTGCGCTCGTGACGCNGATCTGATTGGCGCGTCACCACGTCTGCTCGCGTACGCCCAACTGGCCACATATATTTGCTTGTTGTTTCATGATCAAAAACACACTCTGACTGTCGTTTCTCAGCAGTGTTCTTTCTCCAGTTGTTGGGGCCTAGACAAGAGGCGTACGTATCGATCACATCGTCTTGACATCAAGACATAACACGGAAAGACTGTACTGAGGCAGCCAAGGAATTCGTGAGGCATCTTTGCATTTAGTACAGGTGCCCCCCCCCGCAGTACCACTCAGTCTTCTTTGATGACACGTCTTTAGCTTTTGCAAAAGCTGTGTCACCAATTACGCAATGAGTTGACGGCGATAGAAGTATTCAGAACCGGGTCAAATTCGTGCGTGTCTCAGTGTTTCTCGAGGGCATTTGAGGCTTTTTCTGTTGGATGAAAGCCTCAGGGACACGACAGCAAATCGATGATGCAAGGTTCATTTTATTATCACTTGTGAACAAATCGGGCCGAATTTTGTGTGCTTGTTGAGACTGTACTTTCCAGCGGTGGTTCGGTCTGTACTTTCTAGTAGATCCACTCCACCCGTTTTGTTTATCTTGTAGTATTTCCTGTGAGCTCGCCCGAATTTCTAGATTCACCGATCTGTTTTTCGCGCAATAATTCTACTTTTCTGTATTAGATTTATTAGATGATATGCTCTTTCGCGATGGTTTGAATGTTGAATTCAATTATTGTAACACGTTGAAACGGAAGGTAGCAAACATGCCACATCAACCCATTCGTTCTTATTTGTCACTTTTTCTGTTCTCATATCGTCACATTGTGTTTCTGTGTGCTTTGCGGGATGACTGCTCCTCGGAATGAGTGTGAACGGCAGAGACATCACAGAATTATGTCTGATTTGAACGTACATCCCCCCCGAAATCAATCTTTCGTGTGAATAACCCTTGTATTTTCTGGAAAATATCACCTCCTGTACTTGATCATTAAAATGAGTTTTGCTTAGCTGTCTGAAAGTACGCTTCGGGATACGTATCTAGAGGCCGTGGTCTTCATTTATCCACTGCAGTGTTCTTGCCCCCTCCCTCTTCATCGCTTCTGTTACTGTTTATTTTTATTCTTCTATCGAAGAAGCCTGATCCAGTGTTCTGGGTGATAGTGGTCGAGCTGTTTAGGTCTCCAGCATATCGCTTCAGAGGTTGCCTTCTCACCTCATCCACAATGCTCAACAACACCATTTCCTTGTGGCCCACGGCAGGCCATTGCTTGCCCGCGTTCTTCTTCCTGACCATTGATTGTACATTTGTATCCTTGCCGGTTGTAAGTAATAGATCATGCTCGTTATTTTCGTTTGAATACTATAGCGTCTATTGCCTGTGCTATTTTTTAATATTCATTTTGGAAATGGGATGCCAATTGTTAGAGCTGAACAGTCACTGTTTCTTGTATTTGTGACCGAAACATTTCTGCTGTGGTCGGAAATGAGCACTGGTCAGCTGGTTCATCCTGGTTGGTACTCATCACTAGTGCGTATCTATTTATTCTAACGCTTACTGGAACTGCGAACTGAAACTCTTAATCCCAGGCTACACCTCTGAACCTTTCGAATGCCGCCGAATTTATCCAATTTGCATTCATTTTGTATATATATATAAAGAAAACAACCATCTTTGTTTTCCTTTAAACTATTTAGGCACTTCGAACGTATTCCTGATCTTTGGTCTAATTTTCTGGGTAGGCGTTTTGGCAGCGCCCTCACATCTTTTTTGTTTTACTCGATAAAGTAATTTTTAATCACTCTTGTTGCTCCACAGAAGCACGGTTTCGGGTCCTGGTGACCTCGCTGAAGGCGGCCGAGGGATGACCGAACGCCGTAGATTACAGCTGGAGCGAATTCGTGCTATGGCGGCCGAACTAAGACCAACTCGTCCTCGCGGCTCCAAATCTGGACCAACTCGTTCAGCCAGCGGCCGAGGAAGTCGTGGAGGTCAATCATCTGGTGTCGCTCGAGGTCAGGGTCGAGGTGGCCGTGGAAGTCGAGGGAGTGGTCGGTTGTCTGTAAGTATAGTCGACTTATTGCGTTGGGTGTTTTCCTGTTTTACTCGCGATTTCGATGCCAACAAGGTCCTATGTGTTCAGGATGTTAGTCATGACGAGGTTCCCCTCTCTGTGAATTGGCTTCCAATCTCCAGGACGTATCACAGTTACTTCAGAAAATGCTGATCCGTTATCTTACAGTGGATGCGGATTGAGTCCTTGAAGCGAACTTTATCAATCTGGGAACTCGGGAGGTATTCCATCCACACGGTACATTTAGAGTTTTAAAACGCCAGCTTACCAGTCTTGCTTTACTATCTGTCCGATGTAATGGTCACTATCATGAACGAGTCTGCGGCATAATAACGACTGACTGAAAACGAATGGATTACGAGAGGTTGTAGTGAGCACACTACCTCCGGGCCAACATGATGGTCACTTTGCTTCACTTACCTCTTCGTGCGACGAGCTCGTCCGTGATAGTAATTCTGCTTCGTTGACATTTTAGACGGCTACAGTCCACGCATGTCCGTTTGCGGTAAGGTTCTTATAGATTGAAATGCCAGCTCTATTTTTTCCCAAAGGCCATAGCATTTTTGAAGGTTTGATTGTCATGTCCTACTTGACCGTGTAAACGAAAGTCCACCACCGAGGTTGCAGCACCTAGCTGGTGTTGATGGAAAGCATTTTAAAATGTTTGCCGAACCATCAAAGGCAACGGCCCTTCAGTAAAGAAAACGATCGCTCACTATCGTTGAGCTTCTTTGTTGCAAACTTGTTTTTGTCATTGTATTTACAGAATGTATCACCTATCCGATAAATTTGGTACCATTTAAGACTGGTTTAATGATTTCAAGTGCTTCCGAAGATGGCGATATCATCCACAAATTCCACGTATGGAAATCCAACTGTACTCCTTTATAGTCCTTGAACGCATTACTCAATCGGTCGCGGAAGTAAAAAGCATTGATGAAATTGGGGAGGAACTCATAAGTGAGTTCTGTCATGATGTGAATTGCCGGCGGTGATCGAGTGGTAACGTCGTCAGAATAACCAGCTGGAGTTCGAACTCCGCTACTACTGTCCATCTTCCACTTATCTATATTTCCCCAGTCAGCCTGTTTGTGGCCATGGCTCCCTCCTTGAAAGTTTACTATACATTTCTATAACCAGAAAATGAATAAATTGGTAAAAGCATTTATTATTCTTAATGGAAATGTTTGTGATAACTGACGAAAAGCATTGGACAGCTGTTTCATTCTGTTTGGACTCGTCAGCGGTGCATACTTTTTGTTTCCCCGTCAGGACTCTAATCGCGAACCTTCGGGTTGGGACTTCTGATCAGCCGAATGAGATAATCCAAGCTTGGTACTCTAAAAATTGATTGGGTCATTCGCACAAGGTGATCACCGTCGACCGTATATCTCAGAGGTAAGGGCTTCAAACAGCTGTCTAGTACCCTTTCTCGGTTATCGCAAACATTTCGATCGGACTTGAATGCATTTACCTCGTGGAGAATAAACGATCTCCCAAGGAGTGCAACCCAAACCCGAGACCATCAATAGTGCCTGGTGCCTCCGAACAATCGGATGGGTTAATCCAAGCTTGATTCTCTAAAATTTATTATTCTTATTACGATTTTTACCACGTTTTCAGGACTCAAAAATACAAACATCGTGTTCAATTTCTTCGGGCACATACAGTAAATAATTTGACCATATCCCATATATACGCGCAGGATTGTAATTGGCTTGTAATTCTAAACGATTAAGTTTCACTGACCATGAAATCAATATTTCAGTATCCATGAGATCCAAAATCAATGCATTCGGTTTGGTTTTGAAACATCGTTTCACCTTCGCCTTCCAAGGTGCTTGGTCATTGAAAATGCCTTGTTATTTGTGAGTTGTAACTTTTTTTATTGTGCACACAAATATCCAACGTGAACTCTACTGTTTTCCTGGCGATAAAACCCATCTCTTTCATCCTACCACCATTCTGTCTCTGTAAGAAAGCTCGAATAGCGATCGCAGAAAGTACACCAGAAATTTGTGCTCCCATTCTTCATTATGCTGTCCCTCAGTTGTTACAATTGCTTGGAGCGATTTATACGTGAATCAATAACTCCGTGATTGGATTGTCCTTACTTTATCACTAGAGTCCGTTGTCGATTGTCCGCTGCATTGTAGCTGTCGCTTTGGTTGTTTTCAGCTGCCTTGTGTATTGTCTCACATCATTTCCATGGACTACTTGTGCGTTCCTCGTCGTAGAGACTCCGCTCTCATATTGTTTTATTTGGTTCTCCTACATTGTGATCCCCCCCCCGTTTCTGTTGAAAATGTTCTTCCCATTATGTGCTGCCTTTGCTGTATAAACCATGACCACCTGGTGAGCGACCATACTTCCACAGTTTAATTTCACCAAGTCTTTGGAACTCTGCCGTAGTCGGTCGTTTCGTCGTATTTTTCATTGTTCCGTCTTTCTGACTCAGTGTATAACTTTCGGAGCAGTTACCCATAGTCCCGAACTCTTCCGCCCACCCACTGATCTCCTAATCACTCCCCCCCCCCCNTGCATTTGCTTGAAAGAACGCAGGCAAGTCTGCCAATCGGACACCCAGACGACATCTGTCCGACACAGAGGACATGGACACTTGCGGCCTGGACGAGGCATCAACTGCGCTTCCAGTCGCTGATGATTGGGATGATGTCGACATAGCCCGCACACCCAGTCCCACATGGGATATAGACACTGAGGAAAACAGCAACATGGCCATCGACCCGGATGCCTCCAACGTCTCGAAGATTGGCGCGGTTCGACCGGATACAGAGCTATACATGGATCCTGGTGATGAGAGTGAAGGTGAACGAGATCAGTTAGCTGTGTTGGATACATTGCTCACTCTTTACGATCCAGAAGCATCCAGGTACGGGGTCGTATCTCGGACTCTGAAGTTTACTTTGGAAGCTTGATATATGGTCGAAGTTTTGACTGCTACGAAATTCATGTCTCATCATTCACTGCAAGCATATTCATGTTTAGAAATCGTGTACTGATATCAGCCCATGAACATATAACTGATATAGCAACCATAGACGCCGATTTGTTAGTTACAGTATAGTCTGGATGGTTCAGTTCGGATCAACAACTTAGGTACAGTAGAGTCGCTGTAATCGTGGATTCTAAGACTGGCATTGTAAGGACCAGACCCCGTGCGTGATTTCGGTGATGGTTTTTTGCACTTCCTTGTGTGACCTCTCGCCAAAAATGGGTAATTTTTGGAGTATAACTCACACTGCAAACACGCCAGAATTAATTTTATGATCTACTTTTAGTCTTTGAAATCCTCAGAACTGAGGGTAAGGTTATTAGACGACAGCTGTTTGAAGCCGATGACCTTCAGACGACGTGACAGTGCTGAGCTTCTCAGCAGTTCAACTCTTACGTTAACCTGACAACCAATGCGAGGACTAATGCTTTGAGCATCTCTGTGACCCAATGCGTTGTACAAAATGGGGTTGAGGTCTACCAAGGTTCAATCTCCTGGTCTTCCAGTTTAGGGGGTCGTACTGAGCTGACGGTTCCGTTAGTTGAATGATGAATGATTCATTGAACCAATTTGATGAGTTTCCACTTTTTCTCGACCACCGTCTTGCATTAAGCTTCTTGTCAGAACCATAGTCTTTGTCTGATGATCCTAATCGTTCCAATAATGAGTGGTTCAAGTCCGTAGCAGTGCCCATCCATGAGACTCCGGTAAATACGCACGTGCTCCTTCGGATCATTGTATTGAGTAGGGTTGTTAGGCATAAATGAGCTGGTGCTGTTTGGAAACCCTCATATTCGTTAAGTTTTTGATCTTCTATCTTCTTATGTGCTCGTCATTGTTCACCGAAGTTCCCTTCACTGTGTTTGCTGTATGATGATGACGACAGAGGTGGTGGGTCATATACGTTATTATATAGCCGGTATAGATTTGTATTTTTCCACCGGGAACTCTCTACTCAAATAAAAATTTAACGTGTTCCCTGCGCTGGTCACTGATTAACCGTATCGGTTTGTTTGCTTTCTGTAACCAAGTTTGGTATGGTGCACACTGGGTCGGGTAAACACCGTTATGGGTACCAAGGCCTGCGACTTGCCACTATGCTTGGCGAATAGGGCAGCAGCAAAATCGTTCCTCAATTCTATCACCCGAGTCTTTGCTAGTTATCCGATAGCGTTCAGCTGTGCTGCCCTCTACCAAACACCGTGCCGACATAAAGCGTTTGAAGCAAGCCGCAGGATATCGTGTTAATTCCTGTATAATGTAGAGCACTGTTCTGTAAGAATAGATGATGATGAACTCGGTCATTGGCAATGACTGAACGTAAAGTATGAAGACGTTATTGTCCCCCGACCACCTAATCTTTTATTGAATTAGTTGATATACCGTTAACAGCCAAAAGATACTTCTCTTTCCCCCTTATTCATTTTCTTGTTCTCCGGATTGAGTGCAGTCTAAAATGACGCTTTTTCAGGTCACGTTAATTGACGGTTTCCACTTTTAATTGTGACCAACCAGTAGAATGAATCTCGTGAAATTCGTAACGTTTTGTATTCGAGGGCTACGCAGAAACGGCTGCTGATCGCTTGTGACACGATAAGGCTCACTGTATGGCAATGCAATAATCCATATTGGTGGTCTACTGCCTATGTAGCGAGCTTGTGCTGTTTGTGTGTACGTTTCTTTATCCTGTGTCTTTTGATATCTGATAGTTCATTATATTACCTGTAGCCCACTCTTCTCCAACGTGTGCGTGTGTTTGCAAAAGATCTTCGTGGTTTGTCAATAAGCTTTGAGGAAATCTAACATCTACTTTATGATACAAGTTTTCCGCCCTATCTGCTTAGCTTACAGTATCCACCTAGGCAAAAAGGAATTGTCCATCTATGTTTTTATCCGCTAGATCAAAAGAGGTTGTTTGGTTTACTCAACCGTTTGAGTTTCTCAGCGGATTTTTCGAAGGTAATAACCAAAATGGGTTGTGTGCACCAAATCGAATGGATTAAAAAGAGGTGAACACAGTGAGGTTCAATCAATCAGGTAAAGCAGTGTGCGCAGAATCGATGTTAGCCATCGATTTCGCGTGCTCTCAATCAGCTGTCTACGCACATTAAACGCGTTGGTGTGTTAGGAGAATGTCATATATAGACGTTTACATAATGAGGTTGGATAACATCTGAATTTTTAATTAGTTCAATCTCTTGATTTTTTTTGTTTTTGGAAAATCGTGAGAATATGACGCTAACTTACTTCACTGAACCTTATCCAATGTGCAAAATATTCGGTTTTTCGATCACCTGGAGCCGTATCATCTAACTAATACGCACCAAATCCGAATTTCGACTTGGTTTTTGACTGATCTACAATTGTCTTCTTTATTCCATTCCGGATATTTTAGAGATATCGGTTGTGCTGGTTTGAGCACTCCCCTGGAACAATTCTACCAGATTCACGTTAATACGGAGCTCCCCCGGTAGGTTGCATTCTTCATCTGTTTGCTTTTGAATACCCTATTTTTTCGGTATTCCAAAGTCTTCGGTTGATTTTCCGTTCTCTGTCTCTTGTGTTTATCGTTGTTGAGGCCGTTTGCACCACACCTTTTCCCATCGAGCTTTAGTCAAAACCCGCAATATTTTAGCCAAAACCAGTTATTTGCGCCTACGTGCCAGAGATCACAACAAATACACTGAAGGAGGAACAGGCAGAGGAGCTTGACCGCTGGGCTGATTTATGCAACCAAATGGGTATCGATGTTCACCCAGTTGGAATCGTGCGGCTGTTCCGCCATCCATCGTCGCCGCATGCTGGGGAACCACGATTGACTCGCGTAACATTT